GTTTCTCGTCCGTGGTTTGATGTGGATCGGCCTGTCATCCAACGCACCCTTCTCGGCTGGGTCTCCTCAGGGCTCGTGCTGGCCGTCTGGCTGGGCACCCCATGTAATACGTGGTCCCAGGCGCGCCACGGCCCCCCAGAGTCCAGCTGGTGTAGACTTCGTGCACCCAATGCAATCTGGGGGCTTCCAGGCCTTCAGGGCCGAGCCTTGGCCGCGGCTCGACACGGCAACAGTCAGGTAATTTTTTCTCTGACGATTATTCGAGCCTGCCTGCGTCTTGGGACCCCTGCCTTCCTCGAGAACCCTGCCTCCTCCTTCTTGTGGTCTGTCCCCCCTCTCTTGAAACTCGCCTCTCACCCTAGCTCTCAAAGCCTTGTGTTTGATTTCTGCGGGTTCGGGACCCGATGGAGGAAACGCACTCGAGTCCAGGCGTGGTGCAGCGGATTCAGAATCCGCTTGCCCCAGTTGTGTAATTTGCGTGGGGGGATCTGCGCCCACACGCACAAGCCTCACATCGTCCTCACAGGTCGCGACCCTGCCTCTGGAAAGCTCTGGACCCAGGTCGCGCAAAGTTACCCCAGGAGGATGGCCAACTGTTTCGCTTCTGCAATCATGCGTACCGTCCAGAGCCTGCACCTGGCCCGAGTGCAACAAATGATATCCATTTAATCGTTTTGACGGCATTTTGCCAGTAACCATCTTGGGACTTGGGGTCCCTCTCCTCCCCTCTCATTGTCGGTGGTGGTGGTGTGTCCTCCTTCCCGCTCCCTCTCCTCCCCCACTGCCCGCACTCTTTGGCATGAGTCGGTCCGTGTTCAGTGATCTCTCGCCTGGCCTGCGAACACAAAAACGTTCTCTGGCACGGGTGGCGCTCGGGATGGGTGTTCTTGAACTTTAATCCTGGAGCAGAATGAGTGCCGCTGGACAACAATGTCCATCTCGGAGCCGCTTGATAAGTTTATCTTTATCTGCCTCCGCAGCCTTTTCTCTCGCCCGCCCTCCCTCCCCTTTTCTCCTCCTTGTCGGTGGTGGTGGTGTGTCCTCCTTCCCGCTCCCTCTCCTCCCCCACTGCCCGCACTCTTTGGCATGAGTCGGTCCGTGTTCAGTGATTTCTCGCCTGGCCTGCGAACACAAAAACGTTCTCTGGCACGGGTGGCGCTCGGGATGATAATGATGATGGTGATGCTGATGGTGATGATGAGGATGAGGATGCTGATGAGGATGGTGGTGGTGATGACGATGTTGATTCTGATGATGGTGGTGATGGTTGTGATGCTGACGACGATGATGTTGACGATGGTGATGATGATGTTGATGATGATGGTGATGCTGATGCTGATGATGGTGACGATGGTGATGCTGATGACGATGCTGAGGATGAGGATGATGATGATGATGATGATGATGATGGTGGCGCCGGTGATGATGATGATGATTGTGGTGGTGGTGCTGCTGATAATGCTGATGATGCTTATGATGATGGTGATGGTGGTGATGATGATAATGATGATGATGATGATGATGTTGATGATGGTGATGATGCTGATACTGATGATGATGCTGATGATGATAATGATGATGCTGATGCTGATGATGATCATGGTGTTGCTGCTGATGATGATGCTGATGATGATGATGATGCTTATGATGATGATGATGATGATGATGATGATGATGATGATGATGATGATGATGATGATGATGATGATGATGATGATGATGGTGATGGTGATGATGATGATGGCGATGGCGATGATGGCGATGATGATGATGGTGAGGGAGGACGAGAAGAAAAGGAGGAGGAGGGGGAGGCGGAGGAGGAGGAGGAGGAGGAGGTGGAGGAGGAGGAGGAGGAGGAGGAGGAGGGGGACGAGCAAAAGGCAAAGGAGGCGATGGGGGGAGAGACGAGGGGAATAATGTGTTAGCGCAAGAGGAAGCTTGAGGAGGAAGAGCGAACGGGGACGGGGAGGAAGAGGAGAAGGAGGAGGAGGGGGAGGAGGAGGAGGAGGAGAAGGAGGAGCAGGAGGATGAGATGCACTCGGCGATGGAGGAGGACGACGATGGAATGAGGAGGAGGAGGAGGAGGATGAGGAGAAGGAGGAGAAGGAGGATACGGTGCGAAAGGTACGGAAGGTGCGGGAGGGAGATCTGGAGGGCGACGACGACGAGAACAAGGAGGCGGGGAGGAGGTAAAGGAGAAAACAAGGATGATTGCGGATTCGTGCGATCCTTGTTTGTGGAAGTTTTCTTCCCGTACGTGTTCGGTTCTCTGTCCAGCTTGCTCACGGTTTCTGCAATTAGGCGAATCCGATAACCCGGGGTGGTGGTGGTGGTAGTGACGCCACAGCATGGGCGAGGAAGGGTCGGCCGATGGCAGCGAAGATGTTGGGTTGTGGCTCGAAAGTGCCACGTCTAGAGTTCGTAAGTTGATCGACTGAGTCGCGGGCGCGCGCGTGCATTCTGGCTTGGTTAGGGTCGCGTCGAACAGCCTTCGCCATGCAACTTTGTGAAGGGTAGCATACAGTGGACCCGCATGAGAAGGATGAGCAACTTCCCAAACTTACGCACTTGCATCCTTGCCCTTCGGTCCACCCTTGGCCGCTCTCGCTGGCCGCGCCTCGCTCGCAAAGTGTCGACATGGCCTCCCAAGGCGCTTGCATCCTAATCGTGCGTCCTTACTATACGGGTTGGCTGTACAGATCACGGACAGGAATTTGCAGCCTGCCGAGTTCCCATCGCACCGGGAGCTTATGCCGATTGCAGGATGTAGCAGTCCGGACGGCTACCAGCGCCTTTCAGAGCGTTTCGTATTCCCGGGGTTCTTGTCCTCCCGTTCGCCCTTCGTTTCGTTCGTTCTCGTCCCCACTTCTTTCGGTGGCGAGCCCAGGGGGGAAATCAGAAGGGGCGGACCTTCTCAGAAGGCTCGAAAGCCCCCTGGCCTTCTGAGAAGTTTTCCAAGCCGTCCTTGAAGACACACACACACAAAGACCTACCTTTAGGCGCGAGTGTCTCTGGAAAGTCCCGCCGCCTTCTGAAAAGGCCTTCTCCGTCTCACTTCACCCCTCCTTCGCTCGCCGCCGATGCTTTTCCGTTGTTGCTCGTCTGTCGCGCCCTCGCTCTTGTCCATGCTTGCACGTGCGCCCTCCCGGGATGTGGCGTGCCAGCGCAGATATTGCTGCAGGCTCCGCCTCTCGATCGGCCGACACCGCGCGTGTCTCTGGTGCAGCGAACGAAAGGAACATACCACACATCAGAACGCAATGGCAGGGGCGTTTCACACGGACACGTGCAGAAAACTCTGAGCAGGAAATGGCGCGAAGGCCCCCCAATAAGTGGGACCTCCCGAGCTTCGATGCCGAGGGGCCGCCATAATATACCGCCCCCCTGACTTTCCAAACAGGCATTTGAGCATCCAGACACTGGGGACGACGATGGACGGATGTAGAGTAATAGCGCTAATGAGAAGAAAGTAGAGGAATGATAGAAGGGGGGAGAGGTGAGGATGGCGAGGAGTGAAAGAGGGGGATGAGCGGGAGGGGGAGGACGAGAAGAGGAGTGATGACGAGGATGAGGAATGAGGACAAGGATAACGAGAAGTAATAGGGGAAAGAGGTGTAGGACGGAGCTGACAGTTATCCCCTCAAAGTGTACCCGCTGGGCCGTGGAAGTCCCGCCTGGGGAAGTTGAGGGGGAGGAGGGGGAGGACGAGGAATGGAAGATCACGAGCAGGAGCAGGAAAGGGAGGAGGAGGAGGAGGAGGATCAGGAGAGGAGGAGGGACATTTCACGGCCTACGCCACGGGCGGAATTGTCCCGTCCTCGTGCATGTGTCTGGAAGCTCGCGGTCGCTCCTGGACCGCACGCGCGGGCACGAGGTTCTCATTGTCGGGAAAGTTTTAGAACATGTTGTTGGGAAGGCCGGGGAACCTCTGAACCTTCTGAGAAGGCTGGCCCTGTCTCACTTTCCCCCTGGGCTCGCCGCCGGACCATGCTGCTGCGCGAGGTGGCCAAGCGGTTCACCGAGCTAGACTAGCGCGCGAGGGGCCGCAGGCAGAAAAAAAAACATCGGGGCAACAATCGGGACAACCATCGGGACAACCATCGGGACAAGCCGCACACATCGGCCAGGCCAGGGCGATTCGTTTTGGCTTCTCTTGGATTCTGTTGCGGCGGGAATCCGCGCAGCTTCGCCTTGCCCGCACACGCGACACGCACGACACGAACCCAAACATCGATGTCCTTGTTGGGTGATTCCGTTTCACTTCGATATCCTCCTCAAATCTCCGACGAGTCAGGTCCCTCTAGCTTAAATCTGCCCGTGGCCCAGGGATGAAGTGGGCCTGCTCTTCAAAATGGCGTTCTCGCTTGGGCGCCTCGCACATGTTCCTCAAGACTTACTCCAGTCACATGGATGGAAGTTGATCATATCACAAGTTCTTTGTGGTTTGTATTGTTCGTTGCCGCATGTGTATATGATCAGTGTTGCGCATTAGCCATGTGCAGGTATCGCCACGCATTTCCACGGGGCCTTTTCTTGTTCCAGCGTGCAGTCGCAGTGAACATAGTCGGTAACATGTATTGTGAAGAGGGGGCTGCGGACGGGACTGGTTTGCAGTATCAGTGGTCGGGTTCATTTTGTCTTCCTCCCTCTCCTCCTCCTCATCCTTCTCTAGATTATCCTCCTCCTCCACCTCCTCCTGCTCCTCCTCTCAAGCCCGCACCTCCCAGACCTCCGATGATGTTTGACGGTCCTGGGCCCTCGAAAAAGGCTTTCGGGCGCGAAACAATTAGGAAACACTTTCAGCGCCGTTGTTGCGATCCGCCAGACCTGGATATCCGACGCCGAGAAAAAATAGCATCGTGGAAAATTGTTACCAAGGTCCTCGACACACGCTTTCTGCGGCGTCTTTTGAGCCACATCGATTCGCACTGTGAGAGAAGTGGGACGCGCGGGCGCGCCTGCACCTCAGGGAAGGTCAGGGCCTCCTCCCCGTGGCAGAGGCATCTGGGAGCACCCCGAGTGGTACGAGGGCCTCAAGCCCACATCGCCGTTCAAGGACTTTCAGGCCCGCGCCGCGGCGCGCCATTGACCGCCAAGGGGGGAGGGGCGGGGGGGCGGCCGCCGCCGCTGCCGCGCCGCCACCGCAGCGCGGCTGTCGCCGCAGCCTCCGCTTCCGCCGCCGCTGCCGCGCCGCCGCCGCGCCGCGGCTGTCGCCGCAGCTTCCGCCGCCGCTGCCGCTGCAGCGCCGCCGCCGCGCCGCGGCTGTCGCCGCCGCCTCCGCCGCCGCTGCCGCGCGCCGCTGCCGCCGCTGCGGCCGCCGCCGCGGTGGCGCCAGCGTCGGCCCTCGCCTCTGGGAGTGCCACCCCCGGGCGCGTCCGGGCGCCGGCCGCCCCGCGCTCCCTCCCTCGCGGCTCCTGCACCGCAGCCCCCCGAGCCAGCGGGAGTCCGCCTTTCCCCGCTGGTCCTGGCGCGGAGCTGCGCGGACGAGGTCCACGTGGACGAGCACCTCGTCCTCGATCAACTCGTGCAGCATCCTGGCGGGCGCGTCAATGGGCCGTGCCACCGCCTCCCCACCTCCCTCGTCATCGATCTCTATGGCGTCCAGCGCGGCCAACTCCGCGTCCACCCTGTCGGAGTCGTCGATGCCGAGGCCCGCCATGCTCTGTGTGGCGCCCAGGGTCGTTTCCATTACCTGCTCAGGGGGCGCAGGTCGGGGGCAACGGTAGGGGGGATAGGCGGCGGGAGGCCGGTCCTGTGATCTCGGCTCTCCCTGGTTCTCCGGTGTTCTCGCTTCTGCCAAACAAGAGGACAAATCATCTCTCTATCTCTCTCTCTCTCTCTCCTCATCTCTCTCTGCCGGGGCGCGCTTCTGAGTGTTGGCGCAAAGCACAACCGCAAGCACCCCGTCACGCGCGCAAGCGCGCAACAAACAAGCCCAAGCACAATCACACGCATGGGACTGCATTGGGTTCCAATGGTGATTTCCATTGGATTCCAAATGAGCGATGCCAACAAAAAACAGTTCAACTACCCCGGCATAGTTGCGTAAGATGTTTGCGTAAGTGTTTGCTCTCGCGTAAGTCGACAACAATTTTGCACGCAGAACACAAGAATCCTCCAGCTCCCGCTCAGCTCCCGCCCAGCTCCCACCCAGCTCCCACCCCAGCCAGCTGCGAAATCGGACCCTCAGGGGCCCGAATTCCCCAGTGCAGCCCCCGCTCAGCTCCCGCCCAGCTCCCGCCCAAGCTAGCTGCCAAATCGGACTTTCAGGGGCCCGAATTTCCCAATGCAGCTCCCGCTCAGCTCCCTCGTTTCTGAATGCCCGAGCGGCTCGCGCGCTCGACCCAGAACCGCCGGGGCGCCCCGCTCGCCCTGCCCTCGCGGCGCGGGTCGAGTCGGCGCCCCTGACTGTGTGGCATTGTAGGCGGCGTGGCTGTGCGCGCCGCGTGCGTTTTCGTTCTGGGGCCAGCGCGCGCAGTGGTTGCGCTCGGCGTGCGCGCCGCTGGAAGGAGGAGGCGCGGTTCGCCGCCGAGCCAGGAGAGGAGGAGGAGGAGGAGGAGGAGGAGGAGGAGGAGGAGGAGGAGTCCTACGTATGGTGGTGGAACAGACGCCCACCACCTCCCCCTCCCTCTCCGGAGCATGTAGCATCGTTGTCGCTCGTCCCCACCTTCCCCGCACATGCTCTGGCCCGAGGGGCCGCCGCCCTGCACCCTCCCTCCGCCCGCACCGCGAGGCTCGCCTCGGCAGGGGCGCCCCGCAGCGCGCCACCCACAGGGGGCCATGTACGGAGGGCTCCGGCGAGGCCTCGGCCTCGGGTCGAGGCTGGCGCAGCAGCAGGCCGGAGCAGGGCGGACTCCCAGAGATATCCGGCGCTCCGCGAAAAAGCGGGCGCGTCCGGTGTTTCGGCCGTCTTTGGGGCCCCCACGTGGGCCCTCGCCGGGCCCCGGGGCCGGCAAGAGATTGCGCGCGGGACGAGAAGCTGGCCCTACACAGGGAGGTGGTCCAGACCTCGGGGGCCCACGCACCGAAGCAACCGGAGCGGCCGGATGTCTGGGTCGAGACCGCGGCGGCTCGGAGTCGGTCCCGGGCCCCTCCCGGCGCCCAAGCGCACCCGGGTCTCGGGCTGCCTCCAGCCGCGGCGACCTTGGCATCGCTGGGACGTGTGTATTTTTCCTTCGGCGAGGACCATCGAGGAGTATCCTTGTAATCGCTTGGCGAAACAACCACGCACGAAACCGAAAAAAGCACAGGGAATGGACGTCCGAGCGATGGCCAGCGACGAGGGCGCCCCCGCGAGTGCCAGGCGTCGTTGTCTCAGCTCGCCCTCCTCTGGGCAGGCGTCTCTGGCGCTGCGGGCGCCGGGCCCGAAGCAGGCCGGGGGGGCCACAATGGGGGGGGACGGGCAGATGGGGGGGGGATGCATCGTCCCAGAATCGGCGGTGCATCGCCGATAGATCGGCGACCCCAGACATCGGGCGTCTCGAGAAAATCGAGACGGAGGTTTTTCGTCGTTTTCTGTCTCTCGGGGCCCTCACCGGGCCTCGGGACCGTCAAGAAACGACTCGGGGTGATAAACCTGTCCCGGAGAAGTGGTCGGGAGGTCGGGGGCCCGTGTCTCGAACAAATCGAGACGTCGGATGTCTGGGACAGGCTTCCGACAACGAGTCTGCACCCTCCTGGGCGGGTTGGGGCGACCGGGCCCCCCATCGGCGACCCATGGGCGCTTGGGGGTCGAGGCCTCCCGCCCTTGAGGCCTGTCCCCCGCCATCGACCAATGGGCGATTGGGGGTCGATGCATCCTTTCCTGTGCCTGTCCCCCTTTATCGTTGCCCCTGCCAGGCGTTCTGCATCGGCGCCCGCCCGCTCACGAGGCCCTTCGGCGCGCTGGGCGGTAACGCCTTCCAGCAGCTGGCCGCGGTGCAGAAGGCCGCGGGCGCGCCGCCGGCCCAGCAGGCGCTCGAGGCGCGCGCGGTGCCGCTGCCGCCCTCGGCCGCCGCCGCGGGGAGGCCGGCCGGCGAGCAGGCTGAGCCGCAGGACAAAGCGCTGCTGCTCCGAGTTGTGCATGCGTCTGGGCCTCCCAGTTTTGGGGTCCGAGTCGAGGGGGGTCGAAGGCTCGCGCCGCGCCGCAGGTGTGTCGCCGACGCGGCCCGATGTGGAGCCCGGGTTTTCTCCATGCCGACGGCTCCGACGCGTCGCCGACGTCGCCGATGCGTCGCCGATGCGTCGGCGACGCCTCGGCGACGTCGGCGCGATCCTCCGATTTCCAGCTACTCGGGCCCCATGTGGGAGGCCTCTGCCCAAGCGGTGCTGTGGCCACAATGCGGTGACCCGGGTGGGATCTGGGGCGGCCGCACGCTTCTGGGACCCGGGCTGCTCGCCGAGGGGTGCCTCGGGCGGCTGGGGCCTCCCAGGGTCCCCCAACGCGGTGCGGCGGCGGGCCGTGCGCTGAGGTCTCTGCGGGTGTTTCGGGGCCAGCGCGCCCCCGAGATCCGACCGTTGCAAAACGAGTGCAGCATGGCAGCAAAGCACCGCCAGAGTCTGGGAGCCCATCTTTGTGCGTCGTTTCTCGAGCCGGATCGATCTGGGAGGGTCCTGGGGCCCGAGATCGAGCGGAGTCGCCCGCGGTCAAAAAATTACAACGCCAGGATCTTAGGGACGGTCCGTCACCGCACCGTTTTGGGACCCGCGTGTGCGGGGGGGGGGGGATCTGTAGGCGCGGGCTGCCCTGCGTGGGGCGCAAGGGGGAGGGGAGAGCGCTCAGGGGGGTGGCTGTGGCGGGCGCGGGGGGGGGCCAGGGCGGGCCTTCGGGCGGGGTGGTACAGTCAACCCGCAGAGTAAAGATGGGTGACCTTCCCAAGGGTACCCGTGCATCCTTGCCTCCTCGATCCGTCCTTAGCCACTTTCGTTGGCCGCGCCCCGCTCAAGAAGCGTCGTAATGGGCGTCCAAGGTCCTTGCATCCTTATCGCGCATCGATATGGTACGCGTCGACTGTAGGGGGGTGGTTGTGGCGGGCGTAGGGGGGCCAGAGTGGGCCTTCGGGCGGGGTGGTAGCCAGGGGGGTCGTTGCACAACGCGGAGCGCATAGACAGAAACTTTCGGATGACCGTGCGGATTTCTCAGGTCGGCGCTGTACCCACCCCCACCCGCAGGGCGGCGCTTCCAGCGCTGCCACGGGCTTGCTCCGCGCGCCAGGGCAGTCGGGCAGTGGGCCCAGCTCCGATCCAAGCAATCCGCGAGGACCTCCGACTGGATGTGTCATGCAGTTTTGCGTTGTTTCAGGTTGTGGAGGCTGCCGAGTGCACCGCTGCATCAGGTGGCCAGTTGATGGACACCGCACGCTCGAACTCGATGGTGTTTGAGATCGGCCTCACGTTCACGTTCCTGCACTACCAGTCCATCTTCATCGGCGTGATGAGGTGCCTCTTCCAGGCGTTCCGTCCCCTGCTGATCCTCTTCGTGTTCGGGCAGATCCTCAAGGCCGTCTTCTTCATCGCTGGCGCGCCGATCTGGTTCTCCTTCTACTCGATCTGGCTCTTCGAGGTCGGCTACGGTCTCGCGCAGTGCGCCATCTCGTTCATCTTCATCAGCTTCTTCTACAACAACCTCTCGTTCGCTCGCATGCGCCCGACGCTCACCCACATGCTCCGGCAGCAGCGCGAGAAGCTGTCGAGGGCTGCACAGCTGCTGAGCGGCAGCGCGCACTGAGCAGGGCGCGTCCGCTCCGGGCGCGCGGGGCGAGGAGATATACGTAGGCCGGCAGCCGGCGGAGCGCGCGGGGACCGACCACGGCGCGAAGCGTATCTTTTACAACCCCCTGGAAAATGTCGGCGGCGAGCGAGGGGGGGAAGTCAGAAGGAGAAGGCCCTCCCAGAAGGTTCGGAAGTCCTCCGGCCTTCTGAAAAGTCCTCGAAGCCTGCCGGGAAGACTTGGAGAGTTTCTCAGAAGGCGCGAGGGTTTCTGAGAAGCCCCGCCGCCTCCTGAGAAGGCCTTCCCTTTCTCACTTCCCCCCTTGTTCGCCGCCGAAAAGGAGGAGGAGGAGGAGGAGGAGGAGGAGGAGGAGGAGGATTTTGTTTCCTGCGAGCTGGTCGGCAGGACCGAGCGGGCAACCGTTGGCCCAGCGCGCAGAGCGCACCGCGCGCACCCGCGGCGCGCGGGGCACCTTGTCAGTCGGAGGTGGACAGACCTCCTACCCTGACACGTCGATTCAGGAATTGGCCGTTTTCGGTGCGCGAGAGGGCGTCGCGGCCGTCATTTTACAGGTCCAGGTCCGTCGGTTTCGGTCCCAGGCCGTTTTCACTAAGGGGAGGTTTACTAATCCACCGCCGAGTCAGGCAGGGTGGGAATGGCATTAGGTCGGGCGTGTCCTACAGGCGGATTTTCTGATGTTTTAACGAAGCATGAAAAAGAGCCCAAACATATTCAAAACTATTCAGAAGTTCGCCCCCGTATTATACTGTTTTTGCATCTCCCTCCTGTACGGGGACAGGCCCGACTTCAGGCAGCTGGGACCCCCAAGGTCCCCAGACGGCGCGGCGGCGGGCCGTGCGCTGAGGTCTTCGCGGATGTTCCGAGGCCAGCGAAGCCCTGAGATCCGACCGCTGCAGAACATGTGCAACACCGCGACCAATGTGATCGTTTTTTATTGATTGTTTTGCCGATCGGCGCGGGCCCTCGCCCCCCCCCCCTCTCCCCCCCCCCCCCTTGGAGTAGATCTTGGCTGTTTGGGGTGCCCGTGTCGAGCAGGTGGGGTCTCCCCTCATAGGACGCACGGTTGCGAACAGCCGCACTGAGCAGAGGTCGGGAGCCAGACCCCCCCCCCCCCACCTCTCCCCCTCCCTCCGACCAATGTCGAAACGCCGAAAAACAAAAACGCCCACAATCACGACCAGAGTCCGGGACCCCGAGCTTCTGCGTAATGTTTCGAGCTGGGTCGCTCTGTGAGGGTCACACACGCACACACGCACACACACACACACACACACACACGCCGCCCCCAAGGGCCCCAACGACATCGACGGACGACGACAACGGAGGAGGAGGAGGAGGAGGAGGAGGAGGAGGAGGAGGAGGATTTTTGTTTGACATCCACAGCCACAGGCCCCCTCACAGGGGGCAGATAGCTTCCAGGTCGGCAGTGGCCCCCACCCTCATGTGATCAGGGTGGAGTCCTTTGCCCATCCTCGCCCGGACTTCGCTTCGAGCAGGAGGCCCGCCAAGACATTTCTTGGCCAACCTCCCCAATTGACCTCCAGTCGTGTACGCAGCACAGACCTGGCAGACGCAAGCGAAACTGTTGTCACTGAAATCTACCAGGAGGCAACGGTGCTCGAGCTCCCGCAGCTTTGCGGGATCAACACGCTTGCAGATTCCAGGAGCTGGCTTGGCCACGGATCGGGATCCTCGCAGGTACAGGGGGGCACTGCCAGAATCTACCAGCCCAGCTCCATTCATGCGGTGGCCTCGGGTCCTTTCCAGCGGCCAGCGGGGGCTCGACACGGGCAACCCCCTCCAGATTGGTCCGAGGCCGTCTCTCCATAATCTGAGCCGCCAGCAGACGGGTAGCAGCACGAGCTGCAGAGCACAAACAATCGATCCCAGAGGACTCCTGGGCGGACGTCCTCGGATGCATCAAGACGGCTTCCAAGCTACTTCAGCCCTGATTACCAGAAAGAATTTCGAGCACTATGAAAGCACCGAAACTGAAGGGTTTTTACGTGTCGTGCCCTGGGAGGCGATACTCGTTTGACATTGTTTCGATACTTTTCTGGGTGCTCGGAATTATTTCTGGGGTGTGGGCTCTAAGCACGATGGGAACCACATGAGGCTTCCCTGGGTTTGCATTGACCCGGGTCAGTAGAGCCCCGACGCGAGCTTCCTCCGAAGCTACGGAGGGCTTCTCAGAAGGCTGGCGAGGGCTTCTGCGAAGCCCCGACGCCTGCCGAGCATGCTTTGCCCCTCTCACTTCCCCCCTCGGCGCGCCACCGAGTTGTCCTTCCTCCTCTCTCCCTCCCTCCCTGCCTCCCGCCCGCCTTCCTCCCTCCCTCGCTTCTTCCCTCCCTCCCTCCTCCTCCTCTTCCCCCTTCTCCTGAAAAGGTTCTGGTGTCTGTTCCCCGTTTTCGGCCCCCTGTGGCCGTCCCCGGGCCCGGGGACTGGAGGAAAACCGACCGGGGTGAAAAGTCAGGAAAATCCATAGGATCCCAGATTCGCTGTCACAGGGACCCCTTCCCTTGCGTCTTCGGGGGACCTCGCCCGTCCCCCAAAGTGGTGCCTCTTCTTGCGCCCGGCGCTGGCTCGATGCGGACTCGACGCGGCTCCAGCGTGGATTCGACTTGGGCTCGACACGGATTCGACACGGGCCAGACGAGCTTGACACGGATTCGACACGGGTTCGACGCGGACAGCACCGCGATTGGACAGACCAGGTCCCCCGAGGATGCAGCAGAACTTTTTCCCATGCGAGCCAGGTAGCCAGGAGGCCCCTTGTCCTCCGGCCTCCGTCGCGGAGGCACCTCGAAGTGCCTGGGCCCCGCCGGGAGCGCCTTCCGGGCAGGACTTCGAGCCGGATCTGGCAATGGGTGCACGATGCTTGCCCCCTTCCCCGCCCCTTAAGAGGCCCAAATGGGGCCAGAAGGGTCCCGAGTCCAAGTCCCTCCCCCTCCCACCTCATCGTCCGTCTCCCCCCTTCCATGTTCTCCCCCATCCTCCTCGAGAGGGGGGGTGGGGGAATTGGCGGAGTCCAGGCCAAGCTCCACGAGACCAAGAATGGCAACTGCCCGAAGCCGTGCACAGGAGCGGCTGCATTCGAGATACGCCCTACCGCAGTGGAAGGAAGGAAGAGGGAGGGGGGATGAGGCGTTGGGAGATGGAGAGAACGGAGGACGGGGGAAGAAGGGGGAAATAAGGTCGAGGACGACAAGGAGGAGCAGGATGATCAGTATGACGAAGATGCGGAGGAGCAGGACGTGGACGAGGACGAGAACTTTTGGGGGTGTGGAGTGGAAATATGGGAGATGGGGGAGGATGCGGACGAGGAGGAAGGGGACGGGCGGAAGCGGGAGAGCGGGCAGCATTGATCCTCGAATCTCTTTGACTTGATGAAATGGTTGCCCTTATTGCCCTCCAATCCGAGCACTCGCTCCCGTCTCGGGGCGCTCTTGGGGCTTGGGGGGCTCTCCTGGGGCCCTCTTGGGATCATCTTTCGAATCTCTTGCGGCTGCATGTGGGCCAGCTCAGTGTCGGTTCGGGGATCGTGGGGCCGTCTCGGAGGGTCCTGGGGTACGTCAGGGAACATCTTGGGCCCCTCGTCTTGGGGCCGCCTTGGAGGCCAGCTGGGGGGCATCTGGGGCCATCTTGGTAAGCATATGGGGGGGGGCACTTTGGGGGGGACGCAGATTGGGCCGTCCCGGAGTCTCTGGAGGGCCTCTTGGGGGTACGATCGGAGACGAAGAGGGCGGGCACCGAGGAATTGGGACATTCGTGTTGAATGGCGCCCGAGCAGATAGGAGCGAACAGTCTTAACATAAGTGTTGTTGTTGCTGTTGACTTCCTCACACTGTTTGCAGAAATCGCGCTCTCGCGTAGGACTTCCTCGCAATGTATTCAGACGCCGCGCCCTCGACACTCAGGAATCACGCTCTCACTGTGAATTCCCTCACGATTTGTATTGGAATCGCGCTGTCGCTCGAGATTTCGTCGCGATTCACGCAGGACGCACGCTTCAGCAACCCGCATGCTCGACCTGGCCGCCTGGGCCCGCCTTCCCGACCCGCCGATTAGGGTTTACCCACCCGATCTGCCCGTCTGGCTCTGTCACGTATTTTCTGCGCTCCTAGCCTTCCTCCTGTTACTCTATATCATGATCCCTCCTTCTCCCCCCCCGTTGTCTCTTCCTTCCATCCGTCCTCTCTTCCCTTGCGTTAGGGGCTGCACGAATACACGCTGCAGGTGAGAAAGATATACCCCCAAGTTGGTACGATCGAAGACGAAGAGGGCGGTCTCGCTGGTTTGGGATATATATATATATATAAAAATATATACGTGTTGAATGACACGCGGGCAGATAAGAGCGAACTGTCTTAAAATAAGTGGTGTTGTTGTTAGTGTTGTTGCTGGTGTTGTTATTGTTGTTGGTTTAAACCGAGGGCCGACAACCCAGTTTGAGGACCATTCCCCTCGTAAAAATAAGGTGCGATCCCCCCGAGGAACACTGAACTTGGAAAACAGAAAGTGCACCAGAGGGAAGGGGCAAACAACATTTCTTTCCCAGGCATGGGAACTCCATCATTTTACCATCACGCGCTACGCTTTGATTACATGCCATCATCCTGATGCCACCCCCTCTTTTGGGGGCAGCTGAATTATCAGGAGGGCTGAGCTTCCCACAACCGGATATCCCGCCCAAGGAGGTCGAGCCGACGCATCTCCCGAGGCACATTCCCACGTCCAGCTCACACGCCACATGAAAGTCGGCTTGGAAGAGGACCCGAGCAGTTGTGGGTACAGCCGAGACGCTGAAATGAGGAACAGTTTGGGTTCGGGAGGGGCTCGATGTTCCTCAGGTTCCTCCAGTGCTGTTCCTCTTGCCCTCCTGGGGCACGGAGGCGCTTACAGGGCCAAGATGGGGCTTCGTTCCTAATTTGGCGGTCCTTCTTTCAGCGGCCCGACTGTAACGCAGTTGTGAGCATCGTCTTCGGTGGAGCTCCCTACGTGGCCACGAGACGTGTGGGGGGGGGGGGATGGGGGAGCGAAATGGGTGGCGGGGACGAAATCGGATGGTGTCACTTGGAGTTTTGGTGGAGCTCCTTATTGGCCACGAAACGTGAGATGGGTGTGCCGAATTGGGTGGCGTGGACGCATGCGGACGGTGACACTGGGACCTTCGTTGGCGCTCCCTATGGGGCCACGAAACGTGTGGGGAGTATACCGACATGGGTAGCGGGGGCGCACGCTCACGGTGCCATTAGGACCTTCCTTCGGTGTAGCTCCCGATGTGGCCACGAAGCGTTTGAGGGGTGAGCCGACATGGGCGGCGGGGTCGCATGCGCACGGTGCAACTGGGACCCTCGGTGGAGCTTATGAGGCCACGAAGCGTCTGAGGGGCGTGCCGAAATGGGTGGCGGGGACGCAAGCGGACGGTGCTACTTGGAGTGTTGGTGGAGCTCCTCATTGGCCACGAAACGTGGAGGGGTGTGCCGAAATGGGTGGCGGGGGCGCATGCGGACGGTGCCACTAGGACCGTCGGTGGAACCCCATATGGGGCCACGAAACGTGGAAGGGTGTGCCGGCATGGGTGGTGGGGGCGCATGCGGACGATGCCATCGGGACCTTGGGTTGAGCTCGCTGTGGGGCCTCGAAACGTCTGAGGGGTGTGCCGAAACGGGTGGCGGGAACACATGCGGACGGTGCCACTGGGACTTTCGGTGGGGCCCCCCTTGGGGCCACGAAACGTTTGAGGGGCGTGCCGAAATTGTAAACTGACGCGGAGTGCAGGAGTAAGGCCAGCGGGAGGAAGGAAGGAAGGAACGCGAGGCGATGTTTTTTTCAAAATGAGGACCCAACACCAGAGGACGGTTGTGAAAAACAGGGCGACTATGGGGAGCGGCGAAATTTCAAAACACGAAGGGTTCGAGCCCCAGAAGAGGGGCAATATGTAGGCCATACGTGAAACACAAAGGATTCGAGCCCCAGTCGAAGGGAATCGATAAGAATTTGCTTGAATCGCAGAGGATTCGAGATCCGGTCGAAGGGCAATATATATATATATATATTACATATACATATACATATATATATATAATATATATGTTTTATATATATATATATATATATATATATATATATATATATATATGTAGGAACACTAAAACACACAGGCCTCAAGTCCCAGCAAAGATCCGCGAAGCCCATGTAGGCGAAGCTTATGAGGGCGAAGCCTACGGAGGGCCGACACGCGCTCCCCGAACACATCCAAATACAGCAAAGTGCCTCCTGGGGGCTCTTTTTGGGCCTCCTGGGGCCTCCTGGGGGCGGGGGGGGCCGAACAGCATTCCCCAAACACATGATTTCCCCAATGCAGAAGAGCGTCTCTTGGGGCCTCCTGGGGGCGGGTTGGCCGAAATTCGCTCCCCGAACATACAGAAAAATATCTCCTAATTAGGGCCTCCTGGGAGCGGAGGTGCCGAAAAGCGCTCCCCGAACAGAGATCTCAATACACAGAGTGCCTGGTGGGGCCTCCTGGGGGCGGGAGGGCCGAAAAGTTCTCCCCGAACAGATATCCTTGGAGCGTCCTTTGGCCTCCTGGGGCCTCCGGATGTAGTGGCAAGACTGTTCTGACGGATCCCCTTGTGCTGCTGACTTGCGTGGAAGTCTCAGGCGAAACAGCCGTTCCGGCATCCGCGAGTAGCAATAAGAATGCTCTGAAGGACCCCCGTGTGGTGCTAAGGTGCTAAGTTGCCAAGAAGTCTCAAGCGAAATAGTCGTGCCGGCATCCGCGAGTAGCAGCAACCTGGTTCTGAAGGACCCCCTTGTAGTGATATGACTTGCGAGGAAGTTTCGAGCGAAACAGGCATTCCAGCATCCGCAAGTGGCGGCAAGAGTGCTCTGAAGGACTCCTTTGTGACGCTAAATTGCAAGGAAGTGTCATGCGAGAGCGCCCTTCCTGAGGCTCGCTCGGGCCCTCTCTGGCCAGGGCCACTCGGAGTAAACTGCCAGGAAGTATCGCACAGGAGCGTTGTTGTTGATGTTGTTGTTGATGCTGGTGTTGTTGTTGGTGTTGTTGCTGCTGTTGTTGTTGCTGTTGTTGTTGTGGTTGGTGGTGTTGTTGCTGATGTTGGTGTTGTTGATGTTGTTGTGTTTGTTGCTGTTGTTATTGTTGTGGTTGTGGTTGCTGTTGTTGTTGTTGCTGTTGATTGTGTTGTTGGTGTTGTTGTTGGTGTTGTTGGTGTTGTTGGTGTTGTTGGTGTTGTTGTTGCTGCTGTTGTTGTTATCGTTGTTGTTGGTGGTGTTGATGTTGTTGTTGTTGATGTTGTTGTTGGTGTTGTTGTGGTTGTTGTTGTAATGTTGTTGTTGTTGCTGTTGTTGTTGTGGTTGTTGTTGTTGTTGTTTGGGGGCGGTGTGGGCGGTACGTCGAAACGCTTGAGGGTGAGCCCCAATTTCAAAGGAAATGCAGCCGACGCCGAGGCGAGAGCGCCAGGGCGAGTGCAGGGGGTCTAGCAAGAGTATCCGTGTATCAGTTATCTTTCATTCAGTTTAGTAGTGGTTGCTCTTCGTTACTCGAGTGCCACTCAACATGTATACACCAAGCCTTGTATACCCGCCCTCCTCGTCTTCGATCGCACCACCTCTGGGGGTATACCTCCCTTGCCTGCCAAGGGTAGTTGGAGAGGCATCTCAAATTAGGAGGAGGAGAAGGAGGCAGGGGGGGGAGGAGGGGGGGGAGGAGAAGGAGGAGGAGGAGGAGGAGGAGGGAGGGACAAAAAAGGGGGTGCGCGAGGCAAGGAGGAGGAAACGAGAAAGGAGGGGGCAAAAAGGGATGGAGGAGAGTTGAGGGCGAAGAAGACTTAGCAGGAGGGAGAATAGTTGAGGGTGAAGAAGATTTTGCAGGAGGGGGGCAAAAGGGAGGGAAGAGAGTGGATGGCGAAGAAGATTTCGCAGGAGGGGGTGGGGAGAGAGGAGCCGTAATCTTGGCAAGCGTACCCTAACGGGCGGAGGAGGAGGACGAGGAGGAGGTAGACGAGGACGGTAAAAACCAGCATGACATGATGTGAGCCAGTGGGACGGGCAGGGAGAGGGAGGGGACAGGAAGAGATGAGGGAGAAGCAGGATGAGAACGGGGATGGGATCATGATGCTGATGACAGTAAGGATGGGAATGATGAGGATGATGATGATTATGATGATGCTGAAGCTGATGCACATGCTGATGCTGATGCTAATGATGAGGATGATGGTGATGATGCTGATGCAAATGCTGATGCTGCTTCTGATGACGATGACGATGATGAAGACGATGACGATGACGATGATGATGATGATGTTGATGATGATGATGAAGATGAAGATGAAGATGATGATGATGATGATGATGATGATGATGATGATGATGATGATGATGATGATGATGATGATGATGATGATGATGATGATGCTGATGCTGATGCTGATGCTGATGCTGATGCTGATGCTGATGCTGATGCTGCTGTTGCTGCTGATGATGATGATGATGATGCTGCTGCTGATGATGATGATGATGTGATGATGTGATGATGTAGGCAGTGGCGGGGCACAGTGGAAGGGTTAGCTCTTCCTGGTGCTCTGTGCTGTATCGGTCGTGTGGGCAAGCGCGCGCCGCTCCCTCGCGCCCCACGCCCCCAGACGAAGACAAGGAGGCGGCCGGGCCCGAAGACGAGGAGACTGCCGCCCCGTCGCCCCCGAAGGCGGCGGGGCCGCCGAGCTCCGTGGCGGCGGAGGAGGGAGCAGACGAAGGCGGCCAGGAGGGCGACGCGAGCCCCGAGGACGGGGCGGAGAGCCAGGAGGAGGCGGAGAGCGAGGAGGAGCCGCGGCCGGCGCCCCGCCGCCCGCGCCAGCGGAAGAGGGCGGGCAGCCCGAAGAAGGAGGCGGGCGGGGCCGCGGCGAGGGCGAAGGCCAAGCACGCCGCGGCGGAGGCGGGATGGGATGGGGCGGCAGGGCTTGCTCTCCTCTCTCTCTCTCTCTCTCTCTCTCTCTCTCCTCCTCCTGCTCCTCCTTTTCCTCCTCCTCCTCCTCGTCCTCCTCCTCCCGTCCTCCTCCTCCTCCTTCCTCCTCCTCCTCCCTCCTCCTCCTCCTCCTCCTCTTCCTCCTCCCCTCCTCCTCCTCATGCTCCTCTTCTCCTCCTCCTCCTCCTCCTCCTCCTCGTCCTCGTCCTCCTCGTCTTCCTCCTCTCCTCGCCCTCCCCTCCTCCTCTCTTCCTCCTCCTCCTCCCTCCTCCTCCTCCTCTTCCTCCGCCTCCTCGTCCTCCAGCCCCTGGGTTCGAGAGATTCGAATCAGCGGGGCCCGAGTTTCCGAATTCAGTATGCAGCCCATGGCGCCTCTTCGACCGTGCGGTCGTCGCTCTCGGACGGGGTGGTGACCCTGGAACCCAATGTGGGCGACAGGCGTTCGCCTTGCGGAGATCGCCAGCTGCACACGAAATATGGACTTCACGCTCCAGGCTGGCACCCAGAACGTCTGCCGTGAAGCATCTCACGTTCTCCAGCGGCGGGCCGGTGGGCGAATAGCCTTCGAGGCGGCAGCACAACCAGGCTTGTACACAAACGCTAGTGCTGGTGTATCCATCCTTCTTGGACGTGGTTTTCGTGAACATCATGTTCGTCGTGTGTACCCCAGCCCACAAGACGTGGGCGGACGCTGCTTGGCGGCGAGGATCCGCCAGGGCGTCGTGGACGTGTGCGTGGGCGTGCTCTACTTTCCTCCCCAGCCCCGCTGTCGCGGGGCAGGCCCACGTTACACTCAGACGGTCGCCAAGATGATTCAATTGTGGCGCACTTGCTTATCACAGTTACCGACGCGCTGTCTCCCACTGCTCTACGCTGACGTCAATGACGGACTAGGCGACCGCAAGATCGACGGCGACTGGACGGACTATGAGACGAATGCTATTAGTAGAGTACGTACACGAGAACGGCGCCGACTGGGCGCGGGCGAGGCGGTGGGAGATCTACTCACGCAGCAGCATCTTTTGGCGGCCAACACGATGAACAGGTACGAGGCGACCTTCGTCGGCAATGGGCCTGAGGGCCCGAGCAGTCTCATCGAGTTCGTTTTTACCTAACAGCGAAGACTGATAGGTTTCTAGTGGTCTAAAAAGAGCTCACAGATCACTCCACAGGGGGGTCCGGGCAGGTGTTGGGAGTTGCCGGGCGGCAGGGTGCCGGGCTCGTTTTTCACCAACAGTCACACACTTCGTGCTCTTCGAGTTCCCAGAACTCCATTCCCAGGCACATTCTGAATACCGGATGCAACAGTCACACACTTCGTGCTCTTCGAGATCCCAGAACGCCATTCCCGGGCCACCTTTAGAATAACCGGATGCAACAGTCACACACTTCGTGCTCTTCGAGTTCCCAGAACTCCATTCCCGGGCCACATTCTGCCGGAGCAACAGTCACACACTTCGTGCTCTTCGAGTTCCCAGAACTCCATTCCCGGGCCACATTTGAATGCCGGATGCAACAGTCACACACTTCGTGCTCTTCGAGTCCCCAGAACTCCATTCCCGGGCCACATTTTGGATGCCCGGAGCCAACTGTAGGCCACTTCGTGCTCTTCGAGTCCCCAGAACTCCATTCCCGGGCCACATTTTGAATGCCCGGAGCCAACTGTAGGCCACTTCGTGCTCTTCGAGTTCCCAGAACTCCATTCCCGGGCCACATTTTGAATGCCCGTAGCCAACTGTAGGCAACTTCGTGCTCTTCGACTTCCCAGAACTCCCATTCCTGGGCCACATTTTCAGCAGGGGCAAGAGCACGACGAGGAGGAGGACGAGCAAGACCAGGAGGACGAGGACGAGCAGGAGCAGGACGAGGAGCAGGAGGAGCAGGAGAAGAAGGACGAGCAGGAGGAGGAGGAGGACGAGCAGGAGGAGGAGGACGACCAGGAGGAGGAGGACGACCAGGAGGAGGAGGAGGAGGAGGAGGAGGAGGAGGAGGAGGAGGGGAGGGGGAGGAGTACCAGGAGGAGGAGGAGGAGGAGGAGGAGGAGGAGGAAGAGGAGAGGAGGAGGAGGAGGAGGAGGACGAGGACGAGGAGGAGGAGGAGGGGGGGGGAGAGTACCAGGAGGAGGAGAACGAGGACCACCAGGAGGAGGAGGAGGAGGAGGAGGAGGAGGAGGAGGAGGAGGAGAGAACACCACGAGGAGGAGGACGAGCAAGACGAGGAGGACGAGAACGAGGACGACCAGGAAGAGGAGGAGGAGGAGGAGGAGGGGAGGGGGAGGACTACCAGGAGGAGGAGGAGGAGGAGGAGGAGGAGGAGGAGGAGGAGGAGGAGGACGAGGAGGAGGAGGAGGAGGACGAGGAGGAGGAGGGGGGGGAGAGCACCAGGAGGAGGAGAACGAGGACCACCAGGAGGAGGAGGAGGAGGAGGAGGAGGAGGAGGAGGAGGAGGAGGAGAGAGCACCAGGAGGAGGAGGACGAGCAAGACGAGGAGGACGAGAACGAGGACGAGCAGGAGGAAGAGGAGGAGGAGGAGGAGGAGGAGGAGGAGGAGCAGGAGAAAGAGGAGGAGGAGGAGGAGGAGGAGGCAGGCTGAGGCTGAGGCTGTGACTGCGACTGCCGTTGCCGCTGCGACTGTCATCGCGAATGCGACTACGACTGCGAGAACAGCAGAATTCGACAACTGGATTTTCATCTGAATCTTAAGGGGGATGCTTTCAGATATGCTTCTACACATCGCTGTTAGGTTGCTTTGCCGGGATAATTCTTCCACAAGGCTGGGCGCCCCACGTAGTTACCTAACAGCTTGTGCTGATAGGTTTCTAGTAGGGTCAAAAGAGAGCATCATGACACTCCAGGGGGGTCCGGGCGGAAGCCGGCAGAAACCGGGAGAATCCGGCGGAGCTCATTCCGTGCGTGCAGGTACGCACGGGAGCCACCTCGGCGCCATCGGAGGTGCGTTCCGTGCGTGCAGGCACGCACGGGAGCCACCTCGGCGCCATCGGAGGTGCGTTCCGTGCGTGCAGGTACGCACGGGAGCCACCTCGGCGCCATCGGAGGTGCGTTCCGTGCGTGCAGGTACGCACGGGAACCACCTCGGCGCCATCGGAGAAGCGTTCCGTGCGCGCAGGTACGCACGGGAGCCACCTCGGCGCCATCGGAGGTGAGTTCCGTGGGTGCAGGTACGCACGGGAGCCACCTCGGCGCCATCGGAGGTGCGGCTGAGGCTGAGGCAGGCTGAGGCTGAGGCTGAGGCTGAGGCTGAGGCTGATGCAGGCTGAGGCTGATGCAGGCTGAGGCCGCAGGAGTATGCGGGAGCGCAGCAGGCTGAGGCTGAGGCAGGCTGAGGCTGAGGCTGAGGCTGATGCAGGCTGAGGCTGAGGCAGGCTGAGGCCGAAGGGGTATGCGGGAGCGCAGCAGGCTGAGACTGACGCAGGCTGAGGCTGAGACTGAGGCTGATGCAGGCTGAGGCTGAGGCAGGCTGAGCTGACTTGTCATGTGGAGCTCCAGTGTCACAGAAGATGCATCTGTAGCTTCCTCGTCGCATTAGGGGCTCCAGCGTCACCGAATTTGTCCTTTTGCCGTCGCTGTCGTGCCGCGGGGCGCTTCAGCGGGCAATCATGCGCATGAAGTACGCCACGCGCCTGCGCGCTCACGAAGAGGGCCAGGGCGCCCTGTCGCCTGCGGGCGACCGCGCGGGCTTGCCCCCGCAACAGCCAAAAAGGGCATGCCCACACGCCGGCTAAAGCCGGTGAGTGCCGGCAGTGCTTCTCAGCCTGCCGGCCCTGACCTGCGCGGAGTGCTCGCGATTACCCCGCGGGCCCGCCCCTGGAAGTTCAGAGCAACGGCGGATGGCCCGGCCATCGCGGTCTCCAGGACACAGATGACCGTGCTGCCCAAGAAGCAGGGCACTCTGCATGGCGTGCAGGGCAAGACGGCGGACCCAGGCTTCATCGTGCACTGGACGTTTCCGCCAGGACTCAAGAAAGAGCCCATTTGGCTGGCCTACTAGGTCAGCCTGTCGCGGCCCCGGAGCTTCGGCCAGCTCTTGAGCCGCGGCTTGCCTGACCGGAGCATCATCGAGTCAGGCCCCCCAGAACAGATCGCGAAGGCCTTCGACGAATTCTTCGCAGACAAGATTGCCGCGACAAAAATCGCCTGCGCGAAGGCCCGACAGGCGCTGGGCTGGCCTGCGCGAGCTTGAGGAGCCCTGAGATGCAGCCTGCTTTGTGGCGGTGCTGTTCAGCCTGGCCGCCTGCATTCGCGTGGAACTTCTCAGCCTGCATTCGCGTGGTGCTTCTCAACCTGCACTCGTGCGCAGCCGTGGATAGTGAGATACGGTGCTCCTCAGCACGTTTCGTTCGAGGCTGAATCCATTGATCGCAGTGTCTCGTTTGGATTTACATCCATTGATAGCAGCGCCTCGTTTGGAATGAACACAAAAGCAATGTGCTGTCTCGTTGATAGCAGTGCCTCCTTTGCAGACACATCCACTATTGATAGCAGCGTCTCGTTTCCAGGTGCATCCGTAGTAGTAAGTAGTAGTGTCTCGTTCGGAATTAAATCCATTGATACTCGTATCTCGTTTGGGGCGGATACCATTGATAGCAGCGTCTCGTTTGCACCTACACCCCTGCATAGCAGCGTCTCGTTTGGAATGAGCACAAAAAGAATGTGCTGTCTCGTTGATAGTAGTGCCTCTTTGCAGACACGTCCACTACTGATCGCAGCGTTTCACTTCCAGTCAAATCCGAACATGAATCTAAAGAAGAATGCTACCATATATGCACATACACATGGCTGTTAGGTTGCTTTGCTGGGATAATCAAGTGCCACACGCTGCGCAGAGTGGGCGCCCAGCTACAGGCCCAGAGAGTCCGACCACCACGAGACCACGCACCAGTATATCTTGAAGTTTCTCACCCAAGGGGGCCGCGTGATCGCCAGACCAACCAGTTACGGCAAAGTGGGACA